TATGATCAAAACAATTACAATGTGAAGGAAGGTAAACACAGAGGAACAGAGATCCAGGTGGTGAGAAGGTCAGGTAGATTACTGGATAAAACAGACTGTCTTAAATGGAGGGAAGAACTAATGGAATATAAGGTAACCACAATGAGGTTGGGGTGGGGGGTTTAGTTTGGGTGTTGGGGAGGGCAATACAAGAAGCGGGAGGAGGCAGAAGAATAAGACAGATAGGGGAACACTGAGACAGGTTTGCATGGCCTAGTGGGACAGAGGTAAATAGTGATGCAGACTCAACCTTGGAACAACAGGGTTCTGGCATACAGGGATCTTGAAGAGGGTAAATAATACTAAAATCCTTGACTGCCTTATGAATATTAGTTTTCCTTGCTTACTATTGTGAAATAGACACTTGAGTGGGATAGAAAGGAATGTTGGGAAACATGATTAGAGAAAACCTATAAGCCCGCCTTCAGCCTGTAACTGATTGGAATACCTCAAAGGGGTTCTCTAACTTGCCCATTGAAATAGGCCTCTTACAAAGCCCTTGCAGAGTACAGGACCTTAGGTGGAATCCTGAGTCCCATCCAGAACCTTATGAGATGAGATATTCCCACTAGAAGGGCCAAGCAGAATGGAACAGCTACAGTGACAGAAGATAATCTTCATGATGAACTTGACCTATACTCAGAGTGGCAGTTACTCTAAATTCCAACAGAGATAGAAAGAGTCTTCAAATCAAGTATCTATCCGCTATCCGCTCTGTACACAGGGTAGATAGGGATGGGCACCTTAGACATTGGCTACCTAAAATGAGGGGGCAAATAAATAAATAAATAAATAAAATGAGGGGGCAATAAAGGTACAAAGTGATGGCTTACAAGGATTCAAGAAGAAGTTTAGTTTAAGAGTATGGGGTGAAAGAAAGAGTCCCGACTGAATAGCTTTCATCTTGTCTAGATGGGTCTGGTGAAAAGAGATGGGGATAAGATAAGATTCGTAAGATTCAATAGTGAATAACTGTTATGACGACTAATTGCGACTGTCACAAGTGTAAAGGTAGAAGTTTTGTAACAAAAACAGGGGAGTGGTTAATCTCATAGTCCA